GTTCATCCAGCTCTACTCTTTGTAATCACAGTACATATATAATCGCTTTGAGGATGAAAATAAACAAGTCATTGCTGATGCTGTCAACACTATCTTTTTCACAGTGTACATTTTCTGTTGCATTTTCATAAGACTACCCACAATGTGCCTTAGCATTGCCAAAGTGTCCTGGTAGAGGGATTGAGTTTCGGAGCCATGAGGTCATGTTGCAGCTGTACAAAACTCTGGTGCGGCCGCACTTGGAGTATTGCGTACAGTTCTGGTCGCCACATTATAGGAAGGATGTGGAAGCATTGGAAAGGATGCAGAGGAGATTTACCAGGATGTTGCCTGGTATGGAGGGAAGGTCTTATGAGGAAAGGCTGAGGGACTTGAGGCTGTTTTCGTTAGAGAGAAGAAGGTTAAGAGGTGACTTAATAGAGACATACAAGATGATCAGAGGATTAGATAGGGTGGACAGTGAGAGCCTTTTTCCTCGGATGGTGATGGCTAGCGTGAGGGGACATAGCTTTAAATTGAGCGGTGATAGATATAGGACAGATGTCAGAGGTAGGTTCTTTATTCAGAGAGTAGTAAGGGCATGGAATTCCCTGCCTGCAACAGTAGTAGACTCGCCAACTTTAAGGGCATTTAAATGGTCATTGGATAAACATATGGATGATAATGGAATAGTGTAGGTTAGATGGGCTTCAGATTGGTTTCACAGGTTGGCACAACATCAAGGGCCGAAAGGCCTGTACTGCACTGTAATGTTCTATGTTCAATGTTCTATGTTCTATGTTATATAATCTGCTGCCATGGTTTCCTTTATATTTCAAATCAAATCCCTTCATTGTCAAGATATGTGTTGGGAATGATGTGCATTCACCATCATGTCAATCCTCAGTGTCAGTGTAAATACAATAATTCTTCCAGACACCATGTCAGGTTTCATCTCCTTTAAAGAAGATCCATTTGTATTTTTTGAGCATTGGAACCGAACGTTTGGTAATTCATTCTGTTCAACAGGTTTTTTGAATCGCCATGGACAAATATGCAAAATTTATTACTGCACTTGGCTGTACCTTAGAAAAACCCATTTAGACAACCATTCAAACAATATCTGCCCTGCAAGAGGCACAGTCTGCTTTTTGTGCATTGAACTTATGAGCTACAGTATCTCAGAATTTATTGAACCAGAGCAGAAGCAAGTCATTCTCAGTTCCAAGGGACAACCTAAGATATGGAGGCTTTACATTCTCCCTCTATAAATAAATATGATTATTAATCTGGAATGGTTCTGGAATCTGCTTCATTGGAAATAAGTAATCCAAGTAATTTCTACAGGTCTTGCGATCCATGCCAGTGATTTTTCACATTAGAAGTTGTCATTGTCAGTGGTATCAATCTTGGTAGTTGTATGAAAGTCAATAGAAGTAATGAAAACACGTAAGCATAAAGGCTGCTGACAAATGAGAATGCCTTGTCTTACTAAAACAAGAATGATACAGCAAATAGGTTATTTTATATTTTACTTTTAATTCAACCATGCAAAGGAACTACCTATGTTGGAGCTTCATGAGCAAACTTTACAGGGTCATGAGAGATTTTGCTGTAACGCTTTCAACACGGTAGCTTGGATTTGCACAATGGAATAATATTTGTTCAATGGAATAAAATATCACAGAGCTTTATAGAGGCATCATAAAACAAAATATGACACTTAGCCATTTAAGGAGATAATAGGTTCAATGACTGGTCAAAGAGATAGATTTTAAGAAGTGTCTTCTAAGATAGGATGGCTAGCATTGGGGGTCACCAGAACTGGGACCTTCACGGCATAAATGACACCAGCTCATTCTTGGTGATGTCTTTCATGTTCGGACAAGTTGCGTTGTTGGAGAGATGATGTGGGTGTTGGGGGGCATGTTGGTATAGGACCAATAGGAGAATGATTTCAAAGAAAGCTTGAATTTTGGACCCAGCACCAACTCAGCTGCTGCAGATAAACGGAAGCAACTAGTATAGGCCTCTGTCGGTGCTTTACTAAGGTAAATGGACTACAGGTCAGAACACTGGAAATGAATTTACATGGTACCTGAGTGCCCAGACTGGCTAAAAACTGCATTTTCCAGTACAAAACCAGATGTTTGATCATGCAACTTAGAGGAGGAAAAAGAGGCAGAGAACGACAGAAGTCTAGGGAGAGAATTCCAGAGCTTCAGCTTTAAGGCAGCAGAGAGTATGGCAACTTATGGTAAACTAATTAAAATTGGGGATATACAGAAGACCAGAATTAGGGGAACATAATGTCATAAGGTTGTGGAGCTGGAGATTACAGAGTCAGCCAGAAATTAGCAGGGACACCAAAATGTTGGCACTATCATTTTGTGATAAGAAGCCATGGAAAGGGTTGAAAACAAAGATTTTTATTCCAAAATCAAGGTTTTGCTTTATCAGAAGCTAGTCTAGAAGTCCAAGGAAAGGAATAGTGGGTGATTGGAACTTGGAGAGAGTTAGGACACAGAGAGAATGATAGACACGATCACTCATTGGAGTAATTGATTTATTCTATCAATTGCTACTGTTGCGAAGTTTGTATAGTACTTGTAGATTGGAAGGCAGGACATTAGAACTTATTTGTAAAGTGATAGGGGGAAGAGTGCATGGTCCCTTCAAAAGATGTGTTTTTTTTAGACCTGGAGATTAAAAAAAAAAGTCTGCAGGCAGCAGCAGATGCACAGAGAGTTCTCTTGGAATTGAAACATTGTACCAAAAGGCTTTATTGTTGCAGGCAAAGCATCATTTTTACCAAGACACCTGGCTTTTGAGTTTAGCCATTTAAAGCAGGCTCTAGATACCAAAACCCAAGTAAATTTAAAATCTGATGGTTTTGATGACCTAGGACCAGTCCTATTGTAAGAAATCGATCAGTCATCAAGGGTATAAAAGAAGTGGCCATTTGAAAATCGGTGTGAGATCAAATTGCCATCTGAAGACAAACTCACTGGCTCTCACAGAAATTGCTAAGCTCTAAGACTAAGCACCATATAAATAAAGGCAACACAACACTCATAGCTAATATTTCTGTCATAAGAATTCGACAGAGGAAAGCATTGCTCACTGGAGGACAGTGGAGAAGGCAAAGAACATTCCAGAACACTAATCCTGGCTGTAATTTTGAGAGACTAAGTTTTAAGTTTGTTTTATTAATTTGGTTTATTAATGTGGGACTTGTATTTATTGGAGAAGCATACGATTAGAATTTTGTTTTATTCGGGAATAATTAGTAATTAAGGGAGATTGTTTGGTTTGTTAGTAGTTTTGTTAATTTGTTTACTGTTAAAGTTGGATAAATGAATTGTTACTTGCTGCTTATAGAGTGAGTGAAAGGATTTCATTTCATTTAACCTCCCCTTTGTCACGCTACCCATTTTAAACTTAGAGCATTTTTATTTGTACCATTTCAGTTATAACAGTAAAGTTGAACATTTTTACTCTTACACATCTTACCCAAGGCTCCGAGGAAACACATGACCACCATGAGAACTACAGAGCAGAGGACATTAATGTTCATTCTCCTCTCCAATTTACTCCGTTTGTAGCGAGGTCCATTATTATTAAGCATTGCTTTGGTCTCATGACCTGAGAAGATGTTTTTGAAAAATTGCTATTATCCATTATACATTTCAGTACACAATCAGATAGAAATCCACTTGCAATCTGCATACTGAATATTATTTTAAAATTTCAGAATGGTCCAAACTGTAAGTCTCAGTTAATGCTGTCAATCATTAAAAGCATTTGGCTTAGGTATCTTTGTGCCATTTTCACAGCGTTCAAAGGAGTTTTTCATTCCCTCAGTATTGAAGGGCTGTCTATTGTCTCTTTGGTGTTGGGAGCACGCTCATCTTCATTAATTAGATAGCAAGCTGCCCTCTGTCACTGAATAGACATTTCCTTCACAATAATGTTGCACATTAGATGCTGGCAAGAGGGTGATGAAGGGTTGGTGGGAGGCATTGGGCCCAGAAGTAATCACAACACTGGGGTCCCAACCAAAAAACTTCATCTCCAAATATCAACTTCTAATGACTTACTAATGAAATCATTCTCAAGGTTTGGGTGTTATTGGCAAAATTGTATTTTTATTGCCCATCCCTGGTGTAATGTAATGTGATTGAGTAGAGTCATAAAGTCATAGAGCTGTACAACATGGAAACAAACTCTTCAGTCCAACTCATCCATGCCGAACAGATATCCTAAATAAATATAGTCCCATTTGCCAGCATTTGGTCCGTATTCTGCTAAACCCTTCCTATTCATATTTCCATCCAGATGTCTTTTGTAATTGCAGCTCATTCCATGTACACACCATACTCTGTGTGAAAAAGCTGCTCCTTAGGTCCCTTTTAAATATTTCTCCTCTCACCTTAAACTATACCCTAAAGTTTTGGACTCCACTACCGTGAGGAAAAGACCTTGGCAATTCACCCTATCAAGACTCCTCATGATTTTATAAACCTCAACCCTAAGCCTCCAAGTCTCCAGCAAAAATAGTCACAGTCTATTCAGCCTCTTCCCATAGCTCGAACCCTCCAACCCTGGCAACATCGTTGTAAATCTTTTCTGAACCATTTCAAGTTTCACAAGATGCTTCCTATAGCAGTTAGACCAGAATTGCAAGCAGCATTCCAATAATGGCCAAATGGATCTCAGTCTATTTCAGAGGACAGGTGTCAACAGGTTGGTATGAAAGTGGAGTTATTGTAGATATAAGGAAATCAAATTTCTTTCTCTGAAGAATAGTAATGAACCAGTCAGGTTTTTCCAATAATCTTTTAGCTTTATAATCATTCTTGCAAGTACTGTTAATTTCCAGATTTATTTACATTTTTCAAAATAATTTTTATTGTGACAAATTTTTGGTGAGGTAGATTAAACTTATTATTTCTAAAGTTCAATTCTCAAACTGTTAGTGGGATTTGAAATCCTTCTCCCTGATTTAATATTTTGCACATCTCAAGCTTTACAAAGCCCAGTATGAAAGAAAGTTCTTTCTTCTTTTCTAATTTGGTAACTTTTCAGTTAGAATCTGCCAACACTTGTCCAAATTTACATTTTTGGAAGAGATCCTTTACTGCTGCCACAGTAGACTCCCTTTACTTGTTTTTTGTTTAATGGTGATCCCACCTCATACTTATGACCCCAAGAGAGTAACTTCATAAGAATAATAAATCACATGTTCTACATACCTGCATATATAACTATTCCTACAATAACTTTAGTGTTCCGGATGGTGCAGCCTCGAAGTAAGAGGCTGTCTTTATTGAAGCCGATCTTATTTTCAGGACTTTCCCTGAAAAACAAAACCATTCACACCTAATTTATTTTAACTATGCTATATGCCCTTCTTAAAATTCACTATAATCTGAAGCAAAAGGTCAACTGTGAAACTACACCTCAATTCAAAAAGCATGTTCTGTTTAGATCCACCTCCTGGATTTAGCCTATTAATTTTATCTAATCTATGTATTTACAAAGAGTAGGCACTCAATTTATGCTGTAATGACATTGTACCTAATGTGTGTCTCTCCATCAACTTCTTTTAAGTGGACAATTATTCAGTGACAATAATATGATGGCTTTAAGAATCTCAAGTACATAAATTTAGAGGGATGAATAAAATCACACGATGAAAATTCAATCAACATTCCTCTCACTGAGGAGATGATACCTATCTTCTTAGAACTAACAGCAGCTTGGATGAAAGAGGGAATTTACTGTCTGCAGAATTCCAGAATCAAATCTGCATCCTATTGATCACTATTGAGAATATATTAACCAGTAAAAGTCAAAGCTCAGAAGAGTAACCTCCCAAATTCAGATCCTCTCAGACACACTACTGGCATGTTCAAAAGTGTAATTAAATTATTAAAATCTATCATATTCATAAATGTTGAAAAACTTGCAATAGGATTAAGGCTAGTGTTAGGGTTAGCATTAGTAACAAAGCATTACTTTGTTAAAACAAAGTAAAATCATAAACCAGCAAAAATATTGCTGCAATACAAGTCATTCACTACTTACATAATGCCCTCAAATTTGTTGAGATCATTGTTGGGGCTTTCACAGGTTATAGTGCAGTAGAAGTTCTCTGGTTCAAAACTAGAATGCTGGAAAACAAGTCAACATAGCAACCAAGTGTAGTCTTATGAATGACAGATTTTGTAAAAATCACAGTATGCTTTATGAACAGCAAGTTGTTATAATGGTAAAGTAACAGATTAATTTCTAAATTGCTCAGCTGGAAAGAGTAAGATCAATTTACATTTCCACCCAGCTGTTTTTATGTGAAGAGATTTTAGTACTACAGGTAATGTTGGCACACAATGAATGTCATAATCACATACTTGCAAAAACAAATCTTAGGTTCTGTCTTAGCAACTTCTTACAAAATGCTTAAATTAAGTTCCCTTTGAACAGCAAGCCAAACAAAAAAAGGAAAACACCACCTTACAGGATTTGTAAACCCTTTAACTGCAAGTCTTTGTTTGAGGTTTGTTTCTCCATCGAGGTTAAAAGTCTCAATGTGACAGATTCCATTTTGTTCTGATGAGTGCAATAGGAGCATATCAGCTGGAATTATTTCATTGCACAATAGCTGCACAAAGTCACCCACTTGAACATCTGTCCAGCATTTCTTAACATACTGCTTCTGTTTCCTGGAGAAGAGAAAATAATTAGGTAGTCATGTGAATAAGTAGTCATAGGCATAACCAAAATAACTTTTTTCCACATTATTAATTCTGTTTTACTTCTATAGACTCAGACTTTTCACTGTGCATCGCAATGAGAGGACCAAAAATATTTTTACATTCGACAAATACTGCTAATTACAAATGTACGCTGCTTTCACTGCCTGTGTACAAAGCATAACTCTGGAATCAAGACTTTTATTATTCACATACACTTGGATCTACAAACGAGTTGGAACTTACATGTGAAAATATGAAGTGGATATTTTTCTTTCTTGCCAGTGGAGTAGCCACAAAGGAAAAACTTAGGACAATAAATGGCAAAGATCTTAAGGGGCTGCTTTTAACTTAATCAGTTCAACAGGACACCCAGTAATCAACTAACTCTATTCAATGTTCATTTCTGATAGATTCAATCAATCAGTTTCCTGTTATATGGGTTAGGATAAAAAGATCCCTTCTATCAATGCATCATCAAACTGCTGTACCAGAAATAAAAACTGCAGATGCTGGAAACCAGAAACAAGTACAGAAATTGCTGGAAAAACCCAGCAGATCTGGCAGCATCTGTGGAGAGAAAGCAGAATTAACATTTTGAGTCCAGTGAGCCTTCTTTGGAACTGATTGTAGCTGGGAAAAGATTGCTACATACACTGAAGATGGGGTGGTCTGGAGAGGGGGAAGGGGACGGAGTAAATGATAGGTGGAAGTGGTGCCAGAGATGGAGAAAAACAATTGGGCAGATAAAGGAATGGGTCAGCCTGGGAGAATGAATAGCTGCTAATGATGACCATTAGTGACCGACAATGGGTTGTTTGTGGTAGCAGCCCATGTGATGACAAGATCTGGTGTGTTGGGGTTGGGGTAAGGATATGGGAGAAGGTGCTCAAGCCCTAAAATTATTGAACTGGATATTAAATCCAGAATGCTGCAGAATGTTGTGCTGTTCTTCCAGCTTTCGCTGAGCTTCACATTGGCCAGGGAATACAGCGGTGTGCTGAAATGTTCTACAAAGTGGTCACCCAGTCTCCGTTTCATCTCCCCAGTGTCAAGGAGACCACATTGTGAGCAGAAAATACCGTAGACTAAATTGAGTGAAGTGCTCTAAGTTATAAATTTTGAAATGAAATTCTATGAATTAGGCCAATAATAATTATTGTGACTTTAAGCAAAAGTCAGAAAATGGGAAAATGATCTTATTAGAGAAGGAAGCAAACTAATGAATAACAAAACAATTTTAAGTAAAAGTAAGGTGCAGATGCTGGATATCTGAAGTCTTACAGAAACTCAGCACCCATGGACCAATCGAACCAGGAGCATTCCTTCTCACAATGGATGTTTCGGCACTCTACACCAACATCCCCCACGATGATGGCATAGTTGCAACAGCCACTTCCAGAAGCCATCCTCCAACTCATCTGCTTCATCCTCGACCACAACGACTTCACCTTTGACAACCAGTTCTTCATCCAGACACACAGAACAGCCATGGGGACCAAACTTGCACCCCAATATGCCAACATCTTCATGCACAATTTTGAACAAGACTTCTTTACTGTGCAGGACCTCCGACCAGCGCTATACACCAGATACATCAACGACATTTTCTTCCTTTGGACTCATGGCAACAAATCACTGAAACAATTACATAGCGAGTCCTGAGGAAGGGTCACCGGACCCGAAACGTTAACTCTGTTTTCTCCTTCACAGATGCTGCCAGACCTGCTGAGCTTTTCCAGCAACTTTGTTTTTGTTCCTGATTTACAGCATCCGCAGTTCTTTACGTAGCGATTTCAACAAGTTTTATCCCACCATCAGTATTACCTTTGTCTACTCTTCAGAATCAGTCTCATTTTTGAATACACGCATCTCCATCAGGGATAGACATCTCAATACCTCATTCTACCGCAAGCCCACGGATAACCTCACGATGCTGCACTTCTCTAGCTCCCACCTGAAACATATTAAAAAAGCCATCCTCTACAGACAAGCCCGATGCATGCACAGGATCTGAGGAGGAACGAGACGGACACCTGAAGGTGCTGAACGACACCCTCATAAGAAAGGGATATGATGCTCAACTCATTGATTGCCAGTTCCGATGTGTCACAGCGAAAAACCGTAATGACCTCCTCAGAAGACAGACACGGGATATGTCTGATAGGATACCCTTTGTCGTCCAGTACTTCCTGGGAACGGAGAAGCTATGTCATGTTCTTCGCAGCATTCAACACATTATCAGTGATGATGAACATCTCGCCAAGATCTTCCCTACGCCTCCACTTCTCGCCTTCAAACAACCACCAAACCTTAAACAGACCATGGTTCGCAGCCAACTACCCAGCCTTCAGGACAACATCAACTACAACACCATACAACCCTGTCATGACAACTTCTGCAAGTCATGTCAGATCATCGACATGGATAGTACACATGGGAATACTACCCACTGTGAGCATGGCAGATACTCATGTGACTCGGCCAACATTGTCTATCTCATATGCTGCAGGCAAGAATTCCCGAGGCATGATACATTTGCAAAACCATGCAGACACTACAATAACAGATGAATGGAGACTGCACAACAAATGCCAGACAGGAATGTTCCCTCCCAGTGGTGGAACATTTCAGTGGTCAAGGGCATTTGGCCTCGGATCTTTGGGTAAATGTCCTCCAAGCCAGACTTTGGGATACACAACAACACAGAGTCGTTGAGCAGTAGCTTATAGCCAAGTTCGGGACCCATGAGGATGGCCTTAACCAGGATCTTGAGTTGATGTCGCACTGCAGGTGACCTCACCACACCAAACACTCTCACGCACGCATACATATACACACACTCACTCACACAAACACACACCCATACTCGCACACTCACACAGACCCTCTCTTATACACACACTTTCTCATACGCGCACACACACACACACACACACTCATACTCTCTCTCTCTCTCACACGCACACGTGCACACACACACATAAATCTATGAGGTGAATTTGCGTTTGCCGATTTGTAATTGTATATACATTCTATTTTACTCAAAAAGCACACAATTTGTGTAGAGTCAATGTGGCATTTTATAAATTCCTACTTTGGAAATAAAACCAGTCTGACTCCAAGCTGATACACAACCAGATTCTAAACAAGGCCTCACACCTAAAATGCATTGTCTGACCTGGGATATCACCTCTGGTGTACTGTTAAAACCTTTAGTTATCTCAGGGCAGTGACTTGAAAGAAATTCATATTAATCCTTTCTAACTGATTAAAGATTTAACAGCCATCTTAAGTTTGTTCAACACCACGTCAGTTCTATGCCCCTTTCATACTTTGCTTGCAATTTCTGTGTTTGTTGCTACCTCTCTCACTGACATTTGAAGAAGACTTGTATCTTCAAATAAACCTGTTGCACTATAACCTGGAGTCGTGTGATTTTGACTTTGTCCACCTCAGTCAAATGCCAGCACCTCCACAATATAGAAGGCGCTAGAGAAACTCAGCTGGTCTGGTAGCATCTGTGGGGAGAGGAGAAAAGTTAAAATTTTCAGACAATTTGACTCTTCTTCAGAAAAACCTTCAACGTCAGATTAGTTTCAGCTGGAAGCAGAGTGTCTGGAACTCAATAGATTGTGGATTCAACTCCATTAGTGATTCAACTACCGTCAGCCGCTCAGTTGCTGTCAGTTTAGATGTTGGGATTTCTGCAATTCATACCAGATCATTACTGACCTAGAGTGCTTTTTATATGTTTTGCATTGCAGTTGGAAATATTCCACTGCTATCTGGACAAACAACCTTAAAGTGGCTTCTCTTATGCAGGTGAGGCACAGCTCCTAGGCAGGTTTGGTGCCAGTGAGATCTTTACTGCCACAGGATCTTGGCAAAGTCATGGCTGGGCCTTTTCTGTATGCTTCCCCATCGGTGTGCTTTCAGTCCCGAACTAAGTAAGATGACTGAAATGACTTATTCACACTCTGCTCTTGCTTGGTCTTTCTGGCCTTTCTACATACCAGGAAAGATGTGGTAGGGTGGAGCTCATGCTCACCTTAGATTCAGGTCTGTGTCTCCCGTGGTGCCACTTATGCTGGCTGCTGGACTCAGGGTTTTCCTCTCTGTGGTCCAATTTTTGAGAAGGCCTCAAAGTCTTTCACCTGCTCATCTCTGCTGCTGCTACTGTGCTTCTCTTTGGCTTTTTCGTGTTGGTTAACACCACTTTTGTGCGTTAGTTCATAACTCAGCTCCAAGAATAAATGTCACTAGCATCATCTGGATGTTTGGGATAGATGATGACTTGACACAATATTAGTGCAAACCAGTAACATTCATTGCAAACTATATAAAGAGGCACAGTACTTTCCAGTGCTTTCTTTCTTCTGGTCTTCGCCCCACATGATTTGATGTCATTGTAAAACCATGGATGATAAGTCTAGCTGTTGGCATACAGGCCATTACCCCATACATCTCCCTGCAATAAACTCCTTGGCTCTCATAAGTCGTAGACCAGAAACCTGCACAGCACTTGCAGCATTACAGCCAGTATACCTACACAGTGAATGTAACCATCGTTTTCAACCTCATAACCTCGAATTATGTTCACACCTGAGTTAAATAGCTCTCAAGTTAGTCACTGGGGGAGACATTCACCGTCAGTAAACCAATAGAAAATCAGTTTGTTGTACACAGTGACAGATTAATGGAATCCTCATGCTGCCTTTGGACAGTTGTCAAACTGAGGCACTCTGCCTCTCGGGGGCAAAAAATGGTACTAAATAACAGGGGAGTTCTCCAGATGTTTTGGAAAACATTTACTTCTACATTGACATCGAACAAAATAAGAATACATTGTCATTTAATATCACTGCTGTTAGTGAGCCTCTGATGAGTGCACGTATGGAAATGTGGCAACTGACATTATACTTGACAACAAAAACAAAGTTGCTGGAAAAGCTCAGCAGGTCTGGCAG